TAACTTTTTGACTTGTTTTTGTTTGTTAACTGCTGTTTTTGGCCGCAGTTCGCCTTGCGAATGTTTCACAAGAATGCTGAGTTGGAATGAAATGGTGCCCCGGTAGCGTAACTGGTAGCGCACTTGCCCGGAAAGCGAGAGGTGCGGGTTCTAGTCCCGCCTGGGGCGAAAGTTTTGTTCACAACCCAGCATTCTTGTGAACAGTCATTTTTTTTTGTTGTTTTTAATTCAGAGAAAGCACTTTGATGGTAAAGCACATCATTAGAGTCATCACATCTCGCTCAGTCAAACACTCTAGTCGTTTGACAGAGCGAGAGAGAGCACAGGCGTTGGAGAGGACAGCACGGACGGGAGTCGCGTCTATGTATGTAGAAATACATACGTAAAAACGGGAAACGTGGTCCTGCTTTTCAGATTCTAGGTCGCTTTTCTTGGCTTTTTTCTTCTTTTATGCACCAATGATCAACCCTAACTCAATTTAATGAGCTGTCTTGTCATCGTAAAATTCGCCTTTGATTTCATCTAAGAAACACTAACGAAACGCTAACGAACTTCAAAACAGAGCGATTCAAAACATTCAAACTTTCAAAAAAAAGGATTCATGAAAATTGCCTTGGCAATGCATAACTGCATCAGATCACATACCTTTATATCTTTAGCATATGGAATTAGTTTTTTGCGTTGTTTGTTTATGGATTCGAGTAGGACCTCACGTGTTCTCTCAGGAATGTTATCCTTACAGCTATGTTCTGAAAGAGCAAAAAAAGTAAAGTGTATAAAGTTGCTGAATAAAAGGAAACAGGCCTTTAGTATGTCCCTCAGACAATAAAAGGAGGCAGCACATCTAAAAAGAAGTCCCATTACTCCATGCTACGTAATCATTTTTTATTTATTTACTCCTTGGTTTTATTTGAAAACCACATCGCGCATGTCGTCTTTCAGTTACACATTGAGCTTGTTCTGTAGATGAGAAACGTATCACATTTTCATACACCAAGAGTGGCGAAAATTGTGACAAAAAAGCCGCATTTGATATTATTATAAATGTTATGAGCGAACGTACCAGAGGAAGGAAAAACAAGTGCAGTTCCATGCAGCGTTGATTTCAATCCAGAGAAGAGCTGAGAACAACGTCCCGCCAGGATGCAATCTGCTTTTATAGGGGAGTCAACCATAGATGAGCATGGTTTGTTTGCTTTTTTTGAACGACTCCGCGGAATAAGTCATTCTAAGCATGACGCGCCACCTAAAATAGTGGTTCGAGAGCAGTTGACTTCATTAAAATCAATTTCTGTACACGAATGCTAGTTGCAGTTAGTTCTTCATTAAGCAATACGACAAAAGCTTCGAGTATATTATGAGTGGTATTTTCGAAGTGGGTAAAAATTGACATTCTAGATGGGGGCCAAGTTGTGTGAGCAGCTGCATTACATCGTTCCTAGCAAATTCCAACCCGAATTTCGAAAAAAGGTCTCACTTTGGTGATAATGCAAACAAATATTCAACATTGTTTACCTTTTCTCAGCCCGTGACCATATTTTTTTCAGTAGTGAAATCTTATTTGCTTTACACATTGATTCTCCAAGCCAATTTTCGTTACTGAGGCTCCTCTTTCGGTTTCCGAAAATATTCCTGAAACATTATGATGTGTTTCGAAAAACGGCTTATCAGTGGCAAACGAAATGGTGCACAGGAACAAATGCTGAAAAGCCGATGATGAACGATAACGACATCTATTGTTATCAGAAGTTCAAAATATTGCTCAGGATTTCTCAAATGTTTTAGTGTAGTATGAGATGAAAAGGACGACAAAACTAGATGCGCATTTTGCCAAATAGAGACCTTTGCAAACCGACTACCCTTAATGTTTTTTGGGGCTCACTTCGACGTGCAACTACTCATGGCAACTCAAGAAAATCAAGCCGGATACAAGTATAAAATCATAACCTCACTTCAAATAAACCGAACTTCAAGATGTATGCATACGCTGAAATCAGAGCGACAGCGAATGCGCATCAAACTTCAAACAACGATTCGAAGGGTGCTGTTTTTCTGTTCCGAATGTGACTATTATGATGGCGAGGGATATAGGTAATTACGGTGATATCCGGGTACCATTCATACATCCACTAAAGGCTACAAGGAATAAGGAACCGCATACAGTCGTCTGTATGGGGAGAACACATTTCTTTTGTGACGGCCATGAGCAATGTAGCATGGTGCGCGGTGGAATTTGCAGGCATTTGGCTTGCTCTGTTCGCCCAACATCACGAGAACGACATGAAAGAGGTGATTTTAGACTTCTTAGCGAGCAATTGCCATCCTATTCCTTGCTCGTTTCAAAATGTGTAGGATGAGCCCTGCGTACTACATTGCTGATTATTTCTCATTTCTTCTCAAGGCCTATGTATATGCCAACGGAGGAATTTTGCGATTTTGTTAATGTTAACATTCGCGATTGACCAGTGAACGTTACTGCATTTTCGTTTCTTAGAATAGGGCATATTAGTTCTAGGCGAATCGAAATCACTGTTGCTGTAACTTTGGCGCACCCTGTGTTAAGTGAATATACGAGCTCCTTCTATTCTGCTCACTGCTGACAACTGCCAAAATGTTTCAACCCTATAACTGTCTCAGAAATGATTAAGCGAGTTTTCGTCATAAGCACCAGTCATTAAGAAGACGTTCGCTTGATGTTGACGAATCTTTTTTTTCCGCATATTCAACACTGCTGCTCAGCGCTAGGTGCTGTGCCTTTCTAAAATGAAATCATACAGAATCTTCCCATCATAAGTGTTTCAGATTTAGTATTAGTAAGATTTCACAAGGCCATGCGTGAGCTCGAATCCATATTGATACTACAATTCTGCCTCTTACATTTCTTGGAGACGCTAATTCAAAATACGTTCCACCCTCTACAGACAAGTACACTCTAACTCAACTGAAAGCGACCTCTTTTTCTGTTTTTTTTTCGTGGGGGTCTCTGAAATATTTCGGATAATTATTGAATGCAACGCTGTATGGTTCCAAAGTTCTCGTTTCCGCGTGCAGGATCACTGGAGCTGTAGGATTTGAATTATTGGTAAAGTGCTATGGTATTCAACAAGTATATCGAGCTGACTCCTTTGAAAAAGCAGTTTTAAAACGCAACACACATTCTCAGAATATTCATGGTGAGCTTCCATGTTTGGATGACCTATCCCACTGCATTGTACAGGTGGGAAAACAAAGGTTGTACGACCATGGAGAAATCCCATATGTAAGCAGACCTCCCTCTAACAGCACATCGAACGCATTTGTTGGCTAAGGCATATTCCTCGCTTGTTGTAATATGCACCTGTTAATCCTTTCTGTGGTACGTTTTGCTGTAGTTATTCTTCAAGCAACGAATGTGTTTCTTAACGAGTCAAAGTATTAGGTCGTGAAGAAAGTTCTTGCGCTTTTCGACCTTGATTTTCAAATGCCTGTATCTCGGCTCATTCGAAACCTTTTTGATTGGAGTAAAGACTGTTAGAATCCACAAACCTCTGCCAATAATAGCTGCGTTGAATCAGCCCGGTAGTGCAGAATACTGGAGCTCTAGAGACGATGAACCCGGCGGAGGTCGTTTCCGCATCATGTTGGTTTTTGAAGCATAACTCTTTGGAGAAGCTATCCAGGTAGTCGAGAAAGTGACAAATTATAGGCAAAAGGTCTACCGAGTAGGATGTTCGCAGGACTAATTCGTAGCCAATCTTGTCCAACTTCTGCAGGGTTGGTTGTGGAATGTGCGTCCGAGCTACCTGTCAGGGACGAGCCGGTTCCTTTATAATGAGGAATTTCGAGCATATGTGCCAGAGTTCTAGGAGTAGTTTGACACATTATCAGGAGTACTTTTTCCACATTAACAGATCCACCTGGTTACGAAAAGCTAGACCAGCCGCTGACCTTATGAAAGTCACCTCAACCTTCCTTCAGTGAAGTTTCACTTTTGCAAAGTTTGTAGAGCCTGATCGCGGTCGATCACTTCACCAAAGGTTCGTATTCTGTAGCAAAGAATCCGTTCTTTGTCGTGCGTCGCAAATGATCAAAAAGTCAGGTCGTTTTCATGGCATGAAACAAACGCGGCGAACGACCCTTCAAAATTGGTAGCTCTCGCAGCACGCCCTATTTGGAATTTTTGGGACTTTCCAGCTCTTCCCGTACAACAAGAAAACACAATGCAAGTGCGATTAGTTTAGGAGGAACCCTCTCAATAGATTTGTGCAAACGTGCTTCAACCAGAACGTTCGACTAATCGTTGGCGTTGTCCAATCTCCGATCACCACCCTCACAATCTTTAGGGCTCTCGCTATTCTTACAAAAGCTTTTTGAACAATTGCTTCAGACCATATTTATTGCGAATCTCAGCCAAGTGCGTCTATAATATCTTGACCTGCTTCCTCTCCATACTGGCCTGCTTTGAGCTAGAAAAAGGAAATCATGCAAAATTTGGACTATGCCGTACTCAAGGCTTCAAAAAATGATAACTAATAATAAGGAACGTAGCTAGCCTAGCTGTTAGATAGAACAAGAAAAGCTCTTCAAAACCACATACAGCTCATTGGCAGCTTGCTTGAATTCGTAACAAAATAAAGCGTTCAAAAACGAAACACCGAAAAGCGCAAGAACTTTCTTCACGACCTAATAATTTGCCAAACGTTGAAGATTACAACTGGGGGGAAGGAGTGGAGGGGCGTAGTTGGGTGGAGTAGGGGAAGATTGCAGGGGATCGTGAGTAGGCAAGTGGGCGGAAGGAGGTGCGGGGGGGAGGGAAGGGGGGAGGAGGAGGGGGGGGGGGGGGGGGGGGGGGGGGGGGGGGGGGGGGGGGGGGGGGGGGGGGGGGGGGGGGGGGGGGGGGGGGGGGGGGGGGGGGGGGGGAGGGGGGGGGGGGGGGGGGGGGGGGGGGGGGGGGGGGGGGGGGGGGGGGGGGGGGGGGAAAAAAGAGTTGTTAGCAAAAATGTAAGCGTAAAGTGAACGAAACGAGCGTCTACTTCTACAATAAACAATGTAGCTTTCCAGATATGTTCCTGCCTTGCATTTTCCGAAGGACAAGCTGAAGGTTTGCTTCCCTGCACTTGTCTGAGCTTGTCTCTTTTCATCTCCTTTATTGAAGAATAGAATATCCTTATTCAGAATACAAGTGTAGGAGAAATATTCCTGATCAAATTCTGAGCGTGGTGCTTGCTTCTATCAACAGCCGACGCAATAAAATATTATCAACGACAGGAAGTTTAGAAAACTTAGTGAGTAAACCATATCCCATGCCTACAGCCGAAGCATTCATGATAATATATCACTTTACTACATCCGGGCTGAACGCCGCAAATGTGGCAGCTGTTCAGTGGTGGAAAATACTTACAGATTTTTCTGCGCTCCTTCAAAGCAGGAGCTTACTGAGGGCTCAATCTTGTAAAATACTGCTAGTTTTTCGCTTGTTAATGACGTTTTTGACCCTTGTGCCATGCGTTAACAAACCGCATAGGAATTCCTTAAGGCTACCGCCTCATGCTGCGCGTCTATCGCTCATTAAATTTTGGTCCGAGCTCTAGGAAAATAGACTAAAACAGAAAATGATGTCAGTACCCGTTAAATAAAAGCTTCTGAGAAATGATTGAACTTCCATATAGGAGTACGATTGCGAACTTGCGAAGGAGGCGTTTTTGGACGACTTTGTCCACTTTGGCTTCAGTATCGAAAGGTTTCACCTTATCTATATTCACTATTTTATGATATTTTATGTGTTATTTCTACGTTTATGAGGTTCTCTCAAAGTGAAGAGTGAGAAAAGACCATAAATCTTATATAAACACTGACACTCCACTTCAGCATGCATATTATTAACAACTGTGATATTCAGAAAATCGAAGCTGCTTGGAAAAAAACGTGTTCGACGCCATTGTAACGTAGTTCTGAGGAGGTAGGTATACCCCGCCCACGAATTCTATTGGTTACAACATTGTTACAGCGACATAAACCCAGTTTCAAATTTTGCACATTTTCGTTGCCAGATGCTCGTTTCTACAAAAGTTGGATGCGGAATGAGGCTAAAAACCGAGAACAATAGTACAAAAACAGTGAAACTGCGATGTTTATTTGACAAAATATTGTATTGTAAGTAAAGATGCAACAGCAAGTCTAACCACTGAGTCTGGCATTCCAGGATACCAATTCCACTGTCTCGTCATAGCTAGATCGGGAATCTTCGCTGAGAATGATAAAAAGTGTAACGAAATCTTCAAAACAATGGAAAAAATTGTAGAAGACCGAGAAAAAGATTAGTCATCTTGCGAAACCATTCGTATATATACGAGTCGAATCTCCCAGCAGGCCTCTTCTCTCTTCTTGGGTTAGTCGGCACACGAACGACCGCGAATTTCGCGGTTGTTGAGCAAAAACACCACTCCTAACTGTAATACAATATCTGATCACAAAATACATATACTCGACATCTCGAAGTCAGATTATTGTGTCTATGGGTTTGACGTGGCGGCTGCCGCATTTGATGGAAGTTGCGCGGATAAGCATGCTCTACTGATATCCAATGGAGTACGTTAGAAACAGCCTATCCTCACGGCTTTTATCAAGTGCGGCAAAGGGCCACGTCAAATCCATAGCCACGCCTAATCTGACTTCGAGATTTCGACTGTACCTAATCAATGTCATTTTGGAAACCAGTTAGCCTCCGCACGCACACCGCTGCGCAGACACAGTTAGTTTTGATGGAAGGATAAGTAGCCTATAGAGAACTGTGCCCGGACGTTGAAGAACCTAACATTTAGTTGCTTTGTGAAGTGCGTTAGCTGATCTTCGTTAGGGTGCCCTGCTGTGCTGAAGCTCACCGTTTGGTACGCGCGGATAAGTGCGCCGGAGTTTAACTGGTGTTATAAGCGTGTTCAGCGCCTCTATCTGCCTTATCAGCTCTTACACTTTCGGTTCCCTACCAATCATGTTCCCGTCCCACCCTCACATCACTTATCGAAACCAACACATCGCTGCTGCTGGAACACCCACTTTGAATTTCGTCAAAATTTGACTTTCAGCGCCTCTTATCGCCCTTATCAACTCTTATCACTTTTGCTCCCCTACCAAAACATGTTCCCGTCCCACCCTTTACATCACTTATCGAAACCAACGCATCGCTGCTGCTGGAACACCCACTTGAATTTCGTGAAATTTGACTTTCAGCGCCTCTTATCACCCTTATCAACTCGTTATCAATTCCGTTTCCCCCACTAACTGTAGTTCCGTCCACCCCCCTAATATCCGAATCTATGAAAAATGCTGGTGTTTCACATGCTTAGATATACAGTAGTGGCCAGAAATTTATGAACAAACGGTTTTTTCATGATTTCTCTTTTGAAAGTCACTGGAACGTCTCCAAATTTGCAACAATTATTAACTACGTGTTTTATGATCCACACAGAAAATTTCAACCTTCAGCTCAAATTTGGGTTTAGAAAATTTTAGATTTTTCGAAATTAATGAAGGCAGGTGAAAGATCACTTGATCCGTTTATTTGATTTAAATAATGTATAACCCAACAGAACAGTCAAGTAAACAGTCACTAACATTAAGCAAGTCTAGCACATTGCCCAGAACTCTCTAAAGTATTGGATACATAAACTGGATTTGAATGCGGGGTCAACTAATGAACTCACTCTCTAGTGGGTCTCTCTGTAGTCCCGTCTTTTCGTGGCTCTTTCATTGACATACGAATTTGTAGGTCCTCCCCTAGTGGTTCTGTAATGTTTGGCTCAAGAGTCTGGCCTGGCTGGTCTTTTAAAAGCACCCCATGCTGTCGAAACCACTCCTGCATGTGAGAGGCCCGATGCTTTGAGTCGCTGCTCTGCTGACAGACAAAGCCAGGTCGTGTGGCAGCCATGTCTACGGATACATAACATCTTCTAGAATCTAAGTCTATACTACGTATTCCTTAGTTCTCAAAGTCTAAGAAGAGCGCTCGCTGTGAAGTGGGTGGGAGTAGAATGTGATTGACTAAGCCTGAAACGAAGGTTGATACAGGTTTCTAAGGTCATCTGGAATGACAAAAACATATTACTGATGCATGACAGCAAGGATACTAGTAATGTACGGCACCACGAGAGGGAACGTTTTGATCCAAAGAATCAGCTGCCCAATTGTGAAACTTGGCGGAGGCTTGATAAGGTTGCCTTGGAAAAAAGTGGGACCACGCTACACGACTGAGGTAGCGATGAAGGCAGACGTTTGCTGTCATGTTTTGGAAGGTGTCATGTATCCGTAGGCGTGGCTGCCCGCCCGACCTGACTTTGCCTGTCGGCAGAGCAGCGACTCAAAGCATCGGGCCTCTCACATGCAGGAGTGGTTTCGACAGCATGGGGTGCTTTTAAAAGACCAGCCAGGCCAGACTCTTGAGCCAAACATTACAGAACCACTAGGGAGAGGACCTACAAATTCGTATGTCAATGAAAGAGCCACGAAAAGACGGGACTACAGAGAGACCCCACTAGAGAGTGAGTTCATTAGTTGACCCCGCATTCAAATCCAGTTTATGTATCCAATACTTTAGAGAGTTTGGGCAATGTGCTAGACTTGCTTAATGTTAGTGACTGTTTACTTGACTGTTCTGTTGGGTTATACATTATTTAAATCAAATAAACGGATCAAGTGATCTTTCACCTGCCTTCATTAATTTCGAAAAATCTAAAATTTTCTAAACCCAAATTTGAGCTGAAGGTTGAAATTCTCTGTGTGGATCATAAAACACGTAGTTAATAATTGTTGCAAATTTGGAGACGTTCCAGTGACTTTCAAAAGAGAAATCATGAAAAAACCGTTTGTTCATAAATTTCTGGCCACTACTGTATTATCTCACATACTGTGAACACCTCAGCATTTTTCTTGGATTCGGATAATTTAGCGGTGGATAAAACTTTTTGTCGTCACTCTCAAACTAAAACTGAAATATACCTGTTTACACAGGTGAGGAGCTAATTCGTACGCGCGTTCATAGTTCGCGACTCCGGAGATTAGGATAGTACGCGACAATGAAAAACATATGTATTGACGGGAGATTAGGATAGTAGTAGATTAGGATAGTAGTAGAGTAGGAGATTGCGCTGACAAGATTAGATACGTATCGATTGAAATCGCTGGAGAGTAGTAGATTGCGATATTACGATAGTAGGATAGTAGTAGATTAGGATAGTGCGCTGACAAGATTAGATATGTATTGATCTATTCGCTTGAAGTCGCCCAATCTACTACTCTCCAGCGATTTCAATCGATACGTATCCAATCTTGTCAGCGCAATCTCCTACTCTACTACTATCCTAATATCCTGTCGCCTACTATCCTAATCTCCCGAGTCGCGAACTATGAACGCGGCCTAATCTTCCTCTACTATCTATAAAACGCTATGCCAGTCTGTTTGTGTGTGTCACGAAATTCATACGGACCAGCAGCCATCATGAGTTAATTCTAAGATATGATATAGGGGGTGGGAGGGGATCATATTTGGCGGGGACCAGGAGGTGATAAAGCTGATAAGATCCCATAAGAGGCGCTAGAATGCA